AAAAGCAGAGGAAGAGAGCAGGCTGGAGCCCTGCAGCATCAGAGGGTGAACGCGTGGGAGGGCCGGAACACTGAGGATCACCTGCATCTCTGAGGGAACAAAAAAAGAGGATCCAACGAACAACGCTTCTCCTGCCCTCGCTTTGGGACGGCGAACGACTGAACCGTGAAAAAATTCTCCCTTTTGCCTCCCACTGGAGCTCCTCCAGACTCCGGGGTGAGTCAGCAGTGGCCCTGCGGGGCCAAATGGACGCCTGCAGGAAGAGGCTCCTGCAGGCCTGACCAATCCCATTACACCCCTGTCCAGTCCCCTGTCCGGTCCAGGAGCTATCAAGTATGGATTGTCCTTTATTAGAGCGGCAGAGTGGGTAAAACAAAGGCCTAGCCCAGAGAGGCGTGCGCTGAGCCGCTGAAGCATGTGAGTCATGTTTGATTGCGGAGGGTGTTGGAGCCGCGGGGCAGGCCCTGCGTCGGCCCCGTGACCGTCCCCAGGACGGAGCGGGGGCCGCCTCCGGCTCTGCTGCTGCTGCCGCGGCACATTCCTTCTCAGGCGGAAACACGGCACATTAGCATCACATGCTACAACAGGGGCGGCGGACGTGGTCAAGTGAGAGCAAGCCATGCATTTCCTCCTGCACTTCTCAGACCCACTCAGGCAGAACTCTAAAAGTAACCCCTTTAAAACACAACATATCCTCTCTTAGAATCTAAAGCATCATACTAACATTAACTCTAGCATTAGCTAAAGTTGATGAAACACTATAATAATTGTTTTCTGTGTAGTGCGTCAGTTCCTGAGGATTCTATGACTCTAATTGTTTAAGTGGAAGTTTATATGCGACACCATCTTCCTTCTTCACAAAGGGGTGAACCTGGTGCGGCAGCATTGTTGTGCGTATTCTTGCGAAATAGCAGCCGGCGGGCGCCGGTAGCCGGCTGAGGGCCGCGCTGGCTGGCAAGCCCGGACTGGAGGCGACCCGGCCCTCAGTAATGACTGGGATAGGGGGGATCAACCTCGTTACACAACGGGAGAGTCATTAGCCGACGACTGTCTGTCAGCCCCAATAATGCCGGGCTCCGCTCACAAAAGACCATTGCACTGGACGGCTTCAACCGGCACACTTTGTTAATTAAAAGGGTGAGAACGCTCCTGTCCGCGAGGGCGGAAGAGCTCCCGGTAATATGCTGACGTCATGTTATCATTTCTGCTTTAAACTACACGCGGGCCGGAACTACGTGGAACATTTCCTAAGAACTGATGCGGATTAAGATCTCACTTATGAGACATCTGACTGACGGAAACTGCCTTTTTTTTCCTTCCACCTAAAAGCAGCTGGTTAACACGCACACGTTGGTCTAGTTTTGAAAAGATCATGAAGTAGACTTGCGTTTCGCTTTGGTGGCTTCCAGTGACACAAAATCTGAGTTTAAGGGCGCCGTTTGAAAGGCTACACTCAGATTTTAGTCTCCATTCAAAGGCATTTGTAAGCCGATAACAGAACAGGAAATAATGCTTTATTTATTACCGGATTGTATCGTGACTCAGAGTGATGTTTTCTGTTACAAATGTTAAAAGTTCGTTACACATTTACTGGTAAGACTATGGAAAAAACGATGTAGCGAGTTTGCTCTATTTGGCAACCTGATCCTCTTCTCATTAGTCAGCTTCATTCACCTAGAAAGCAGATAAATACTGATGAGGTCACAGATCAGAACTTAACCATCATCAGAGGGCTCTAGCAGTGTGTGTAGCTTCCTCCTGTCTTGTTAAACCACAGAGAGGGGAAACATTCACACCTCTTCCATGACACCCCTGCCACACACACTGAGGTCTCCCAACTCCAAACTTTACAAAGTTATGAAACTGTAAACTCGGTCCGCGTGGGAGCGCAAAGTGACTGTAAAGTGGAGGAGGAGAACGGAGGCAGGAGGCAGACAAAGCGCCGGGCCGGACTCACTGATCAGCAGGGAACGCTCAGCCTCCCATGCCCTCTTTGTTCATCTGTCTTTGCTTTCCAAGCAGATGCAATTTGCTGCTGTTTAGTAAGCCAGAGGAGGCTTCCTGATGACTCAAAACACTGCAAGCCAGGAACTCACGACCGGCTAATGTATTCACAGCATCACTCCGCCTCTCCAGCAGACTTTGTCCCACACAGAAACACAGAGGATTATCGCAAATAAAAAGGAATTACATCCTTCCTGAAAACAAGTCAACTTTTCCAAAGCGAAAGCTTCACAGTGGCCACAATGTCTGTGTACGTTAAATCATTGTCAGTCTGATGGGATTTAACAGGAAAAAAAAGCAACAAACTGCAGCATCTTTATGAGGCATCGACCCAAATTAGGAGCAAAGAGATGTGACATTTTGAATATATGCTGCCAAGCCCAAGTTGTTCAGTTTATTTACAGCAAAATCGGCCTTCCGGGTTCTATTTTTATCTTCTCACATAAGCAGCGACGCTCAGACCTGAGTCAACACAGGTGACATCCACCACTCAGCGTCTGGTATTTCCCTCAAGTCACATGCTCTCCAAAACATAAACACAAGTGACTGCTCGCTTTGTTTGAGTATTAGAAATGGTTTCCTTTCACATTTACAGGAGGATGTTTTTCTTCCACAATTTTTTCCAACAGAATTGGGCTTTTAATAGGAATGAAGTGGCAACACGGATGTCCAGGCAGAGTAACACGGGTCTCCCCAAACCGGCTGCAGAACGAGCCGTGCCAAAACCTCCAGATTAAGACACAAACCAGGATGACCTGCAGGTACGTTCTTTCCAGATCCGCCGTTTAACAGTTAGTGACAGGGCCATTTAGAAAAAACAGCCCAACAAAGACTGTCCTGTACCATGCTCAACACAGACTTCAGTGTGGAGAAGATTAAGAGGTTAGGAGGTCTCCCATCCTGCTGACCTCTGACACTAAGGTCCCTCCGGGGGGCCAACACCAGTGAGGGGCCGTCTAACCCCTGGACACAAGAGTCAGACTCCTGACACAAGAAGTCAGCAGCCCTCAGGCAGATAGACGGACAGGATGGGGAGACAGAGGCCCTCTGCAGGACGCAGTCACCACAACACCACAGACGAACTCTAAATCACCTCAACGCACAGATCGCATTAACAAAAGAGAGTGAACTTTGCAAAGGCGTCCATTAATTGATCGCGCTCTCTGGCACGGTGCGTTTGTTTTGCCCGTCGTGGCGCACGGGGAGGAACAAAATGACCAGAAAAAGGGGGCTCAAATCAAGCTGCAGCTCACCAGGCCCGGCGCTGTTTACCAGGCGAGGAGAGGCCGTTGTGAGAGCTGGCTGAGGGAAAGGTGAGCAGGACACACCTACACACATCCTTTATTTACGGAGGCTCCACCGAAACTGGAGCAGGCGCACAGCCGCAGTGTCCGGTATCGCCCGCAAAAAAAAGCTGGATCTCTCCATCTCCCCAGCACACGCACGCACACACGCACAAACAGACAGACACTCGCGCCGACCGACCGTACCTCAGGAATTCTTGCAGACAGGTGTCACAGAACCGATGTCCACAGGTGGACACCTGGACCGGCTCGCGCATGGCCTTGCTGCAGAGCGGACACTGGAAGCGTCTCTTCGGCTTCTCCAGGAACTTGTAGTCAAAGCCGGGCATGGCTGCGGGTTTTCGGTGGCTTTTCTCTCTCTATCTCTCTCTCGAGGCCTTCGGCTGCAGGTTAAAGGTACAAATGTCCTCTCGGTCCTCCCCCCCCCACCCCCGCCCCCTGCGCTCTGAGCTTGTCGGGCTGCGCTGCGGTCTAAGCCGATGAGGGGCTCATTCTCCGCGTCCCCGTCCTCCGCAGACCGATGGGTCCTCTTCCTCAGCTCTTCCTCCCGCAGCCCGGGGGACCGACGCCAACAAAAGGCGGCGGGCAGAAGCGATCCTCCCTCTGCAGGGTTTTGCTCGGGCCGGCAGAGATGCTCCCTCTGGCTGCCGCCGTGCGCTGAAACCGACTGACACACTGAGCAGCAACGCACAGGCGCTCCGTCTGTTTAGGTGCACGGAGCCCCGCCTCCCCCAAGCCTATACCCCCCCCCTCCTCCTCCTCCTCCTCCTCCTCCTCCTCCTCCTTTTCCAGGCAGGAGGAGTCAAGGAGCTCAGACGCTCCTTTCACACCGTTCCGTTTCTCTGATCTCCCGTCGTGGATCTGGATCTGGACCTGGGCCTTTGTCCGGCTTTGTCCGGCTGCGGTGGCCTCTGTGAAGCGTTCACGGCTCTGACATGTGACATTTACCTGTCGATGATCAGATGAATGAACCGTGTTAATGCACAGTGATCAGGAAAAACTAGGAATTTTAATAAGCTTTCCCAGTGAGGAATGCTTCTTCTTTTTCTTTAAAAAAAAAAAGATTTGGGTCTTATAAATGAAAACAGATCTCCCACAGACAAACAGATGGAGAAAGACGCCCTCTGGCGGTGAGGATACACACCAACGAGACATCTCTTTCTAACAAAAACACCAGGACATCCATCCCGCATTTACATTTGCACACTTGTGAGAGAAGCATCGACAAAAACAAACAAACACCTGGATGTCGTTGCTCAGAGAGGCGGCCCGGCGCGCGACCACACATCTGGATCATCTCTCACCTGCTGGGTTGCCTCTAGATTACATCACCATGACATCATCAGACAGGACAACAATGGCAGCGGGGCCGTGTCCTCACAAAAGGTGTCTGCCGAGAGGAGAAGGAGCTCAGCAGCCAGGGAATATCACCTCAGCAACTTCTAATGAAGCCAAACCTGTCAAAACCGAATATAGATTAAATAGGCCTGAATGTGTTCATCCACAGTGCTTTATTTAGCATAAATTTAACTAAAAATGTGACTGTGGAAAATATGTTACTTTTTTCAGAGGGGTTAAATTATTTGGATCATGCAAGTAAAACAACTGATTAGATGAATATTCTAAGCATTTTTAAAACCTGTAAGAACAGTGATGAACTTTCACCCCCCGGGACAGAAACAGCAGGAATTGTTTAAATGATCGAAGACTGTTTGGTGAAATTAAGTCAAATACTAAAATAGTAGAATTCATAATGGTGTTTAATCAGAGAGAGAATTTGCATGCATACAATACAATGATACTCAAAGTGTTGGAGTTAAAAACAAGCACTGTAAAACAACATCAGTGAGGCTGATCGCACATAAAAAAAATCTTCAATAAGCCAAAAAGTGTCAAGTTCAGACAGGTAGAAAATAAAGTGCTTCACCCATCATGTCTTCGTTTTTACAGTACAAATCTATGATGGCAGTATTATGTCGGCTCGCCTTCATCAAGATGGTGTTTAGGGACACAACGCTTTTCCCTCTGAAGAGTTTTGTTGTTGTTGTTGTTGTTGCCTAGAATAGTTTGACAGTACCAGGCTGCAGAAGCTCAGAGGGTGTTAAAATTGTGGTTCAGGGAGCATTTTCCCCCATGGACTGCCCCCCAGAGCCAAGAACATGTGGGAATTTAGCGCTTCCACATTTTAAATTGGAAGGATAAATGATCCAGAGTGAAGATGTGATCCACTGGAAGGATGATTACTCACATTGTACAAAAACTTTCAAAATATGGCTTCTTTAAGAAAATGATTCCATTGTATCTTTTATTCAACTCGCCTTAGAGTGCCACAGCACAAAAAGGGAAGCCTTGTACTTGGAGTGTTGTTTTCCTTCAATTAGGTTTTATCAGATGAAGATTGGAAGACTTTTTAAAGCTCATTCTGTCCTGGTAATGGGGACTTATTGTAGTTACACAGAGCCCAGGGCTATTCTTTCCTGCTTCACAACTTATATCTGAATATCAACATAATTATCTAATCTTTTGACTTTCTGAATGCTTTTGCTGTTTTGGTCTCAGACCATCCAACGAACACAGCTCATACAACTTTTACAAACATTTAATTTACAATAAATTACACTAAATATGAAGGACACATAGAATCTTTACTAAAACAGAATAGTGTCCTGCATTCACTGCCTTTCCCCTTTTTTCCGCGACCAAAGTGTGGAAAAGATTTGAGCAAAGGAATGACAACAGTGCTGTTGTCAATTACTGCTCGCTACGGAGTGAACAGCTGTCTGAGAACCATGAGTGAGGGAACAAGGCAGTGACTTCACAGTTCTGTGTAACCCCAAACTGCCCCTCGTTATCTGGTCTGAATGCGGCTGTGTTGCTGGGATAATCCGACGAGGCACAGAGTGATCAGTCACGGTGCAAGTGAGATAAATGTGCCCACGTCGTTTGACCGATGAGTGCTTAAGTGGCTTCATTCTTTACAGCCCATTCACGGGCCTCTTAAGAGAGCTCAAACCAGTTTGACTTTCACTGGCTTGCCATGGTTTACAGAGCAAGTGTAGCATGTGATGGAGGACAATAGTTCACCACATGTGAGCCGACTAATGACCTCCTGTAATCCGGCCTCAGTATCAGTGTTGCAACATTGGTTTAGCAAACGTGTTGCGAGCTACACCTGCGTCCTCAGACCGGCGGGGACTTTCCTGTGTTATCAGGCTGCCTCCGAAGGCAAACAGGCATCCATGATAGAAAAGTGGAATTGAGAAGAAGAAGAAGGGGAAATTGGTAGTGCAGCTGCGGAGTGAAAAGAAATCCTTCAGCTGTGGTGTTTTTGAGGAGCCTGTTCTTGTCACTGGGCTCCCTGAGGGGAAGGTTTCACTCCGAAGTCACCGCGGGACAGCCTCCTCCATCAGAGCTGAGAAAATAAAAAAGGAGAGAGGAGGAAAGGGAATATTAGTACAGCTGAAAGAAGTCATACAATCAAAAAGACGTTGGGTAGGAGCTGCCTACGGTGGTGGCAGTAAAAGTATGTGGACTGAGGCAACCTAAACAGAGCTCTCTGTGTGAGGTTTGGCACGGGGCTGCCTGAACCGGAGTCAGCTGAACAGTCAGCTGGTGTCAGATCGGGCCAAACGGCGAGATGCGTGCCGATCGTTCAGATATCTACACAGCTGTGTCACGTTAAACCAGAAGAAACCCGACGTTTCCGGTTATTTTGCTGCACAGCTCCACCTTCCTGCTGGGAAACGCAGCTCCAGTTTCAGCCTGGTCCGCTGTGACATGTCCCCCTCCTCCCGTCCTGGGTGTGTTATTACCCCCTCTTCCAGGGAGGAAGCCGCGTTTTGTTCCTGCTTTTCACTTTAAACATCAGCCCTGCTCCTTACAATTGGGATGAACGTTGATTTGACAGTTAGTTGTGCATTTGGCAGCTTGAAGACACAGATGAATGTTTACTCTGACCCTTCAGCAATATCTGATGTCTCCTGTGAGCTTTGTGAATTATTCATTCATTTTCTGTCTTCGGATGAGTGTCGTGAGGATTGTGAATTTCCAGAAATAAAAATGTTGTTTTTCGGTTGTTTTTGTAACCATTAAAACTCAAAGTTGCCCTGTGGATTCTTTTCTTAGCAGACTTACATTGTCTACATCCTTTAGGCCAGAATGGACACTTTTTTCTAGTCAAGTAGGGAAAAAAATAATCCTGTTTGCTGATTTTCTGTTGCTTTCATTAAAAGTTGTATTGCCTAATGATACAGCTCCATTTCTACTTAAAGACAGCAGGGATTTTTCTGACTGATGACTTCCCGCATTTGTCCAGAAATGTTGAACATGCTTGAATATAACCTGTTCTCGGTCGTTTCAGAGCTCTTAAACTCACAAGTCACCCACAAAAACCTGCATCTCTGCAGACATAATCAGCAGATGTGTGTCTCAAGTTCTACCGCCCTTTCATCGGGGGATTAGTCAGATTTCACCACATCCCAACATCTCACAGCGTTTGTTAACAGAGCGTAATAAGCAAAATATTACGTTTCACTGCCAGAAGAGTGTTGCCATGACAACAAGCCACTGATGTCACCATAAAGGAGTGACTCTCGTCGAGCTGCACTGCTTTTGGTGTGCCACAGTCCTCCTCTTTTCTTCCAAGGCGCCCACGGGCCCCCTTTCCCCACGTGTACACATCCCCTTCTGCAGAAAAAAGAAGAGAAGAGGGAGCTGGTCACCAAATTCAGAACAAGACACATTAATCCACACAAATCTTTTCCTGACAGCTCCGTTTCTGTGGCAGGGCCACATAAAGACTCTATCTGTAGGAAGTCTGAGTCGACAAAGCCTTCCTACTACAAAGAAAACCTACAGGCACCGTCGCCTTCCCCCCAGGGAACCAAACCCTGCTCCAATAAGACATTTCACTCTCAGACAGACAGAACAAAGACACACACATGTGTTATCTATCTTTTAACTAAGTCAAAGTATGCCATATGTTTCCTCAGTTATAAAGTGTCATGGCCATCATTGAAGTTAAATGATTTAAAAGATTTTTTGTTTAAGGATAATCTTCAGATGCTTTAGTCTGGTCTTTTATTTGCTTGTGAAAATTTGCAATGGAACCCATGCTAAGCAAGAGTATCATTACAGGTTCTATGTAAAAAAAAATAGTCAAATGTCCTCTTTAAAGTAAATTAAGAAACCTCTTACATTCTATGAGCAGGCTATTTTTAAAATAAAGCATATGGTTTTCAGCTTCATATTAGCATAACAAAGTCAGATTGTTGTAAACTCCTCCACATTTGGCGAAGAGAAGGAAGATGCAGACTTTTCTTCTCACCAGAGCCAATAGCTAAGGTGAAGGCGTCTCCACAGGCGGCCATCGTGATGCCCTGCAGGCCCGGCACCAGGTAGGGCAGGCGGCTGCTCCGCCGGGAACTGCAGCCCATCTGACGGTGCTGGTTGCTGCCAAAAGTAAAACACTGCCCCCCCTCTGAACATCGAACACACGGAACACCAAAAAGTCAACATGTTAGATTTGCATTTGGAAATTTCTGATAGCAAGTTTTTGACAAATATTGATAAACCTATGTTCACGCAGCCTCATTCAGAGCATGAATGTTGACATATAATTATACATTTTAGCTTAGAGGGGAACTTTAACATGTTGTAAGGGAGCCTTTAAGTAAGCAACTACCTGCAACCACACAAAATATGCTATTTGGATAGAATAGGATGAATTTCTTAACCTGTAACAGCAACAGAATGGGATGTTCCAATGTCAATATAAACGATCTTCTCAGTGTTGAGAGGGGCTGACTGAACCAGCTTGTAAGAATGAACTTCTTCAACTTGATTCACAGGATTTAGTTCCTCTCCTGGTGCGATCTTATCCAGGCCAAGTTTATTAAACCTGACCAAAAAAAAAAAAGAGAAAAATGAAAAACCTCTGGCTCTATAGCCTTTTCAGGAAACAGTCAGTGAATTTAGGTTTTTAGGAATTTTAGCTTTGGTCTCATGTCTGTAATACATGTGATCCACAGACATGATTTTCACAAACCTGCTAAGGTAACTTATTCCTTTTAACACAGAGACAGAGTTTCTGTCTCCACTGTGTCATTTCTGGAGAATGCTGCCTGACAACTTGTGCACACAAAACTATTTCTTTAAACCTTTAATCTACTACCATCCCACACACATGCTTTAAACTTAAGCCTATTGAAAGAACAGTTTTGTCATGCTTTATGGCAGACATACAGTAGCAAAGACTTTCCATCAAGAATGTCATTAGACATGTTTCTCCCTCAGTTCATCTGTGGTCTTTTCGTGTTGAGAAACAGAATAACTACCTGTTGCTTCCACATGCCACAATGCTGCCCTGGGTGCTGATGATCATTGAGCAATCAATGCCACACACCACTTTCTGGGCCTCAAATTCCACAGGTAAACACACTTGCTGAGGACAGTTGTGAGTGTCTTGGGATCCGAGCCCGAGGCGACCTTTGAGGCAGAGACCACGCGTGTTTAGAGGCAGTTCTCATACATCAGTCATAGCCCAATGCACATAAAAAATCACAAAGAGGATAGCTAAAATGCAACCTAATGGCTATACCGTTGTCTCCTCTTCCCCAGGCAAATACTTCTCTTTCATTCGTCACAGCGAGAACATGGGAAGCTCCACAGGACACCTGCACCAGCTCATAGCCGAGGAGTTCCTCCACAATCTTGGGCTGCAAACAAAAAAAAAGAAAAAAAAAAGGGATTTCTTGATCTTGAACGATCTTCCTTTGAATATATTGCTTTCTTTAAACGTATTGCAAGGTGAACAAAACCTTTTGAAATTCCCTGAAGCATGTACCAATAACCTGGAAGCAGATATTTCTGTTTAACAGGACATGCTGCCTTGTGGACATGTACCTGTGTCACATCATTGAAATTACCATGTCCCAGACAGCCGTTGCTCCCGCTTCCAAATGTCATGATAATGCCCCTGTCTGCAAATTGAAAATAGAAACAGGGGATTAACGGGTCTATTAGTTGATGAGTGTAGGTGTATTGTAGTGTAGACTAACATGATGCTTCTAATCTGATCCAGGAAACACTAATCTGTGTACATTGAAAAGTGATGAAAGAGAAGCAACCGAGCTGACGCGAAGGGGCTTTAATCCTGTGTTATCTGCTTTCCAGTGCTGGATGGCCAGACAACAGTCTCCTGCTGCAAACTGACTAACAAAGCCCCACAGTTTGAGGTCCGGAAACAGAAAAAACAGCACTTTCAATCTCCAAGAGGAGCTTTGTGTCATAGCATTCATATTGTTTGCAGTTGCTGTTACATTTGTTGCAGCGTTTGAGAGCAAAAGCAAAGCACATTCATACATTTCCTTAAGCAGAGCCATAAGGTGGACTTACTGGCTGTGATCTGTCTAATCTATCCAAACAGGTATAACCCACAAACCTGTCATGCAGATAGTAAACAGATCCCCACAGGACACAGACTTGATGGTGACACCAGACTGGCCCTCGAGGAAGCGAGAAATGAACGGCGGCTGCATCTGCTCCACCGCGCCGGGAAGACTGGTCTCACCGGACACCGACGGAGCCTGGGATGATGAATCACAGTAAACATAATATTGAATATAATAAGCAACAGAATCCACCTGCTACCACACTATTAAAAGACCATCAGTCAGTGATGATCAGTCTTGGCCAGGTGTTATGTTACATCCATGTAACCCAAAATGCATCAGTTTGTGTCTTCTACACTACCTAAAGCACCCTCTAATTACAAAAATGGGCCAAAAAATTATATGAAATGACTGGTGTCTGCACTGTGGCTCTTTGAGTCTGCAAAACCAACGCAAGGCTCATATTTACAGAGTATATTTTATTAGCTACGAAATTAGGTTCAACCCAGGGACCTACAAGACGACAGAGCTGCCAAAAGTGAGTTTCCTCTGTAATCGGGGTTCAGACAGACCTCCCATGTGATGAGACGACCAGACTTGGTGACTCCCATTTTCTGAGTGCGGCCGAGAGACACCTGGAGGACTTCGGTGTTGAGCATCGGCAGGCGGAGCGGCGTTACGATGCCACTTCCCCACGTATACACAGAGGACAGAGGGAGAGAATGCACCTTTCCAGATCCTAAACCGACCGATCCATCTAATCCAAGAGGTGACAACCAGTTACTGCTGCAGTTATGGTGATTCAGACTGATCTGATGGGAGACAATAGTATGAGCATCACCTCTGGACCTGTTAGCGGGAACTCTCCCCCCTGGTCGCCCTTGAGAACCAGCCTGCATTGTAGACAGCGGTTTCTCAATTCTGGTGGCAAAAAGGTGAGGGTAAAAGATTGAGAATTTTAACAATAAATGAACATAAACTCAATTGATGATCAATATAAGTGCAGCGAAGGCCCACCTGCGCATTTTCACGTTGCCTATGTCTGTGTAGAGGTTGAGCAGAGGCCTGATGCATATGGGCAGAGCCATGATTTCATTGAGCTGAGGCCGTTTAGATGGATCCAGATTGAGCATGGTGAGGATCAGCTGTCTCAGCTCTGGGCTGTATCGGTCCGAGATCGGAGCAAAGGTCCCGCTCATGATTTTCAGAACTAGCGCTGGTAGGTTCTGAAGGGACATCGAAAGAAAGCAAATTATGGGATAAATAATGGTAGCAGTGTCCCACTAAAAACATAATCCACAAACCCCCCCAAAAATAAAAAACTAGGAAAAGTGCTCTCACAGCAGTAATCCACTGTGGACTTTGTAGTGCAGATAGATTTGAGCAAAAAGCAGAAAGATTTGAGTGAATTATTGATGTGAAAATAAAAAGCCCTAGGTCTTATGATGCTTTAATAGGAGAAGAACCACTATCTTCACATGAGCTATTCTGGATTTATTGTATCATTCATTTTTGGTAGGATGGCTTCATATCCTACATATCCAGAGTTTATCCTTTTTACATGATTTTTTTACTATTTTTTACTGATGTTACTGTAAATTACTGAGATATGAAAATCAAATAAATGCATGATTAAGAACATCCAACTTGAATTGGATTGGATTGTTGTAAAGATTTCTTTTAAGTACAGCAGCTTCGAAGGCTCTCTTGAGGCTCGCTAGCTCGTACAGCACGCAGCCCAAAGCCCAAATGTCACTCTTCTGGTTATATGGCTTCCCCTCACACAGCTCTGGAGAGATGTAGCATGGAGTCCCAACCACCTGCACAGTCAAAGCAGCAGCTATTAATTCATAAGTATATTATGGAGATATGTAACTCAAAATAAAAGCAAAACAGCTCACTGTGTAGGCTTTGCTCTTGCTGACAAGAATTTTGGATATCCCAAAGTCCCCAATTTTGACAATCATCTGGTGCTTGTCCAGAAGAATATTCTGGGTCTTGAGGTCACGGTGCAGGATGAGCTTGTTGTGCACGTGGTACAAAGCGAGCAAGATCTGCACAAAGAAGTGAAGGATGGTGTCCTCATCCAGGAGGGAGTTACAGCGCTTCTGTATGTAGTCAGCCAAGGTTCCACCTGCACAAAGAGAAAAATTCAGAAGTGAGAACCAGAACATGAGCTCACCAAAACCGGAAGAATGAAACACTAATTGGGCATAAACACATCCAGCCTTATAAGCAAGTTTTCTCTCTTCATCTGCAGCAGCATACAATCTTGGACTCTTTGGATCTTGAGCTAAAAATTAGCCTAAGTTTAATTTTTACCGACTAAATTCTATCAAACTAAAATAGACTTAAAAAAATAAGACTGGTTAAAACATGACAAACAATGATACGTTTTTCTTTTTTAAAACAGCTGAGAAGAAAGAAGACATGTTAAAATTTGAATCAAACACAGGAAGACAGGAGATGTGATTATGAAGCATATTTGTTTTTCCCATCCAAATCGAGCCACTCAGTTGTCCAGAGAGGTGATATTAATGAAGACAGTCCGGAGCTTAACTTGAAAATATGTCTAGCAATCTGTTGGTTCCAGGATGTTAAAGGCAGTTACGATGAAGAATTCTGGATTACATGGAGACAAGATGTGTAATTTACCTGATTACATGGTCCCATCCATCCATCACACACACACTCTCAAGTGGTCTTCCCAGGCCTAACGTGGGAATGAGCAGTGATCTGGAGCCCTATAGCACTAAACTATGGGAAAAGCTAACTGCTGTAAGAAAAGAGGCTTGTGTAATGAGATATGACAGTGAGCTTACCAGGTGCATACTCCATTGCTATCATGAGGGCCTTGTCCTCAAGGAAGTTCTCATAGTACTCGATGATATTTGGATGGTTGAGCAGTTTGAGCACCTGACACTCATTCTGTGCTGCCAGGCGTTCATCGCGTGACATCTGCTCCACAGGGATCTCCTTCAGGATGACAAGGGCCCCGTCGCTGCGCCTGCGGCACAGGTGAACGATCCTGACAGAGCGGGAAAAGGAAGAGAAATGACACACGTAGGATAGAGGCCTGATTACTGGCAGTCTACATTTGGTGAGCTTCAAGAGCACTGGGACCGATTTTCTGACAAAGATACATCACATAAAATAAGAAAAAACGTGAAGTACAGTAAAGCTGTCGTGTCATTTATCTTAACATTCACAAGTGGAAATGTATCTAAAATATAAACAAAAAATAGATTTTTTTAAAGGGAAATTAATGAAATGTGAATGAGTGAACTCACAAAACAAAATCAGAAAATACCAACATGTTGTCATTGTAATTAATTAGCTGTGATGGATGAATATTTACATGGTTAGAGCCTTATCACATCTAATTTAATGATCTAGCACCAGTGCATTGTATAATCCTGTTGTAAGTGGTATTTTTTATGTCTGTATTTCATATCATTTAAGCTGATGTGTATTTTCAGCTTGCATCACTTTGCTGGGAACCAGGAAGTCATCAATATTTTTCTACCCAATCAGAGCAAGCTTTCTAAAAAACGTTGAAAAAATCTCACATATGTACGTCTCTACAATTCAATATAGTTTTAACAATAATAATAAATTGCTAAGTATTACTTTTTACATAACTTTTACTAATTCTAACTCTCCGTCACTTCCTCCTCAGTCAGCGAACATTCCGTTACTTTTTGAAGCAGTTTTTCACGGCCTCATGTCAAACACGCTGAAAGCTCAGTGTTTTTACAAAGCTAACGGCGAGTAACAAACGATTAACAAAGTATATTTTAAACCAAAGTATACCCGAAAGCTCCTCTTCCAACAACTTTGATTTTCTCATACTTCTCCATCGCTGCTGCGCACAAACGTTTCCGTCGTTTCCAAGCAACACATCCCAGCTCTACGGCCAGCAAGGAGGGACATACCGGGAGACGGAAAACGGTGGCTTTGAGAAGATTCACGACAAAAGTTACAACCATAAAGATAGTACAAAGTTGTTTAAAACTACATAATTTAATTTAGTTTGTTTTGACAAGTAAAGACAGTATCTACGACATGGTAGGTTAAAAATTGATGCTGCATCATCATATATGGTGGACGATATTCAAAACCATCAATAGTGATTCAGTCAAATAAGTTAAACCACAATAGAAAGACAGAATTGTTCCTTTTACTTTATTTTATTCCTCTAATGGTACTTTCTCCACTCAGCATTGCACTGAAAAGCAAGAGAGCGATCCTAGGAATGTTAATGGTTTCCTATATGTCAATATGTTTTGGTGATTGTATTCAACCTAAATTGCCTCTTTACAGACAACTCGACAGTTTCAGTTCTTAGTGGCCTGTAAAGAGTCTGCAATCATACAGTTTGGTACATGTACATGAGAACGGATATGAAGTGAAGTAAGATGGTGAGAACCAGTGAGACACATGTCATTAGTGCAGCGTCTCAAGCTTGGACTACAGATCACCAGGTTATTAAGAAGCAGCCTCCACTCATCTGAGATAAGCAGGGAGGGTCTGCCTGAGTGCTGTTTCCCCTTTCAGCCATGATGAGGGATAATAAAGGCTTTGTGCTGCGACAAAGCCTGCTCTGTGTTGTGCTGAAGAACATACCTCCACTGTCATTATCAATCTGAAATAATAATACATAACCACAGACAATAATCTGCATGTAATTGAGACTTTCCATACAATCTCTACTTCTTTAAAATGAAACCTGATTAAGGGGAGTCATGTGAGTGTCTCTGAATAAACAATAGTTTGCTCGAGCACATGTTATCAACAGTTAAGACTTGCAGGAGCCTTGAGGTGGATACGCCACTCCTCAGACCAGTCTAGTAACATATTTGTCCATCTGTCACCATCTTTGTGACAGTCAGTGACCAAGTATTCACTGCTTAGGACAGCGAAACTGGTGCTGATTTCCAGGTGTGAACCTTCACCGGAGGAGCTTTATCTTTTAAATCTCTGGAGATTTCTCAAGACTTAAGACAGGAAGTTGTTAGTGAAAGAGGCAATTTATTCAACACACGTTTTTTTCCCCACATATAGCACTGCAATTCTTTCACTGGAGTAAAAAGACCAGTTCTAACATGGGCAAAGGCTGACCAGAACTTTTGAAGAAGAAAAACACATTTATCTTACAGAACTAAAAAAAATTATGCAAAAAAGGTATCCTCTCATTAAAGATTCAATAAACTTTTACATATGTTGTTTAAGAAGGTGTACATTGTGTCCATATATGTTTTGGGAAGGCTATGTTGTTACATTGACTCTAAACAGTGCACTGGATAAGATCCTGAAAAATACAAGTCTATATACTTTAAACTAAATCTGTCCCATTTACTCGAAAACCCGTGAATGATTATATTCCTGAATGTAAAAAATGTAAATATTAACAAAATGTAATATATGTATATTTGTAAATATATATATCTGTCAAGGTCAGCATTTACACACCATTTTACTCTTCCAACCCTCATAAAATGGATCAATGAGCAATTATTTGTTATAAAAACTTTGAGAGGGTCTTAACATTAAGAAGCATAGCGTCAAATGTAAGTGATGAGTCGCATTGAGTAACTTTATTACCATAAAATCTCCCACAACGAATCTTTGATTACGGATTTTTTTCAAGCTAATTGATAACAGATGTAGAATTTACTGACTAAGGAATCTGAAACTCTCATGTATCAATCTGCTTTCAATGTGGGACTTTGTGAGTTTGAAAGTCCTTTTTAGTGATTGATCCACAGTGGAAAGAACAGAATCTTTTACTTCAACTGCATAACCAAAGTTATTTAATCAGGACACAGAGTATTGGTATGAAATTACATGTCAGACTTCTGGGTATTTTCTTACAAAGGCCTGTGCTCTTAGAAGTGAATTGATAGGATGTCTCATCTAACATTGAATTCTCATGGATCTGCAAATACATCAGAGTATGTGAGTATCTGATTCATGCAGCTATAAAAGAGTCACTGCTTAGTGACAGGAAACTTTTATACCAAGCACTTCCTCAGAGGGCGGGTCCTTTGAGATGTATACGGACAATGGGGTCCTCTAGTGATCTGAAGAGGGACTGATGTTTTCAGGATAAAAACCGGTTGCACACACAGGACTCACTCAAGTGATGTTTAGCTTCCATCTGCTGGGGAAGTTTCATATTACGCAGGATACTCAGATTTATTGTTTTAGGTTAAGATAAGAGCCAAACTAATTATAGTTTAACTTTAGCTTGTTTTTACAGTTGTCTGAATAATGTTGAATCTGATCAAAATTAAATTAGATTTTTTCTTACATTTTGTGCTTTACTAGGTCATAAATTAGAACGATAAGCTGATACTTTCCAAAAATAATAAGACATACTGTATTACACAGGAGTGTTACTCATTAAAAAAACTAAACCACGATGCAGAAATAGTGGGGAACAAACTAAGTCTGTCCTTACTGATTCTGAGCTTGGTGGGTGAGCTGCAGTCAGGCGCCTCCTATCGAATTCACTCAATCAATGAGCACCTCTCTAAAAGCAGGTTTTTGCAGCTCTGGAACATTCAGATGTGTGTTGACATAAGGGTTGTGAAGCCATTCGAGACCATGTGGAGATTATCATTCTACAGTGAGAAAGATAATTTGCAAGTGGGAAATATTTCCCAACCTCCTCACAGTAGCTGTCATCACAGGTTCACCTTAAAATCCGACCATCAAAGATAATGTGCAATATATGTTGTCCGTATTAGTTCTTTTTAACCAGATTACAAAACATTTAAAACACAACATGATGTTTTCTTATCTCCTGATACAAAAAATTTCACATTGTGAGCGGTGTCTTTCCCTTTTCGTCAGACTGCGCGTCACCAGTTGCGTGTGTCTGTGTCAGAGGCTTCTGCCGTGTTTCCTTTTCCTCTCAGACTGCTGAGAGGCCACCTGAGGGGAGCTGTAGGCTGCGTTTACGGTACAGAGTGAGGAAGGCAGACATTCTTCTGTAACGTAAGGGATCCAAAGGCCAACTCTGCAAACACAGAATCACCCACCCATCTTCCACAGCAGTTCAGTCCTCCTCAGTTTCACAGTATCCAGGGGCCCACCCTATCCGAACCAGGAATTGTACAGTTTGAAAACCTGCCCGACAAGTTCCTTCACTTTGAAAGGTTTTATGCAAAGAGCACATGTAATAAAGAAATAGAAGAGCCAAAAACTGATTGAAGTGGAATGTTTCTTATAGGTATCAATTATGCCATATAAAAGTATAATTCCTTATGTTTTGCTCTGTGACATTATATTTGACCATATGCCACTGACAGTCCATTTGGAATGGTGCTGAACATATGACAATTTTACCTCATGGCCCTTTTATTGTACCTTACACTGTGTTGAGCGTAAAATGCATACATAATCTTGTTTGTTTACATCAAATGCCGATGAGCTTCCATTACGCGCAGCCCCTCAGATACGCACAAGGAGCGGCGCAACTGGTGTGAAATAGGGTGCTGATGTAAGTTTCTTCTCCAGACGTTTCCAACGGCCCTCTGCTCGGATTTAGTTCCTTACGCAACATGATCGTGGTCCCTGCCCCTCCTTGTTTCTGTGGTTTCAGGGAGCAGCGGCACCACCCACCTCCCCCTCCACCACTCCCCCGTCCTTGCGCACGGGCAGGCGGGCTGAGAGCGGCGGCACATCGCGTAATGAGGCGCTGCGCGAAGACGGACGTCGTCGAAGTGGAATGAGCCGCCACGGGACTCCCCTGCCTCCTCTCCGCGCTGGGAACACTTAAAAAAACGACGGCTTCATCCACCCGGCGCCAGTAACCGGGCATCCGTGCTTCTACGGCATCTCCACCATCTCTCAGAGTTGCAGGCGCATCGCATACCGAGCATATTCGTCCATCACCGGGCCCAGGAGAGACTGTCAGGGGCGTGAAAGCCGTCACAAGACAGGGGCTAAATCGACTCATCCGAGCATCGACACAGCAGGGGTGGGGAGGTCAGGATGGAGGCTCTGCTTCCCGTGCTGAGGAGTCACCCAGGCCCCTCGGTTCTGGTGTGCTCTCTGCTTTTCAGGGTGGCCCACCGGCTGCTGCAAAAGCTGCCCGTGCCCAAGCTGGTGAGGCAGGATGAGTTCCGCTCCTGGAAATGGAGAAACCTCTCCGTGTCCATGGTGCACTCCCTGCTGACCGGAGCCTGGGCCGTGTCCTGGTAAGTCCTCACCCAGAGTAAACATCTGCATGCCCATCTATGTGCCCCTCCCTCCACACTGGGACAGCATTGTCTATTCCCAGTCCACACCATGTGTGTGTGAGTGTGTGTGAGTGTGTGTGTGTGTGTGTGTGTGTGGACCAGTGACAGTCCGTGGCAGCCAGGAGAAAAAGGGCATGTTCAGACTGGGTGAAAGACGGAGACAATGGAATCTTTAAGTGGGAAGGGAAATTCCTCTGTCAGGCAGACATCTTATTGCCTTTTGAATTTTTGAATGTGAATCCAGCAACTAGTAGGTTTGAAAGAAAACAAGTTTTTAGAATCCCATCTGATCTGAGCTAGAAGTCTGTGTACCTGCAGATGTATCGACTGGAAAAACCTGCTGGCTTGTTGTGAAAGCATTTTGAAAAACACTTATCGGGGGCGGGACTGTGCTTATGACTCATGTTTTAACATTAAGAAGTAGGAGTAAGGTCATGCTTTCAAGTCGTTTGCAGCCCCACATGGCGACGGTTGGAACAAGTGTGTGTTACTATGAATTCAGAGCTCTCTGAAGGTGAACTAAGTCATGTTTCACATTAAAAATAAGTTGATTGTACACTGGATTATGTGTCCACATATGGGGGATCTGCTACTCATTTTCAATAATTCTACTTTGATTTGTGTACTCAAAGCAGGAAACCAGAAAAGACTGATTTTTGAGGTGTTTTGTTTTGCCAGACAATAAAAAAGAATAAAACAAAGACAAAAATAGCTGAAATAGTTATATGTAGACAAAAAAGAGAGTATGCGATGCTAAAATGAAATAAAATGTCTGTCATTAGTCAAGCTTTTCTCAGGAATGAGCCCACGCATGTCTGAATGAGGCACATAGAGCCACCTCTCCTTGTTTCCCTCCCCAGTGTGGTGATCTGGCCCGAGACGTTGAGCAACATTCACTCGTATCACACCCCGCTGTCCTACCTGCTTGTCTGCGTCTCCACAGGTACGTGAAGGCGTTTTCATTCAAATCTTCGCAATGCTATTTTAGTTTAAAAAAAAACAAAAACATGTCTATATATTTGGGAAGGAATTCTGCATGATGGTTTAAATTGAGCATTGTCACACAACCCAAACAGTCCAGGAGGTTGACAAGAGAGGTGACAAACTGAAACTGCTCCCCCTCCATTGTGCTGGAGTTGTACAACTACCACTTATCTAGTTTCTTGAGAAGCCGATAGCTACTCCTCCCCTCTTACCTGGTTCTCTGAGCAGCCAAACAGGCTTCTCAGTCACCATGGAGACCAAAAACACTCCTCTGGGGTCTTAGTGGTCTGGTTGAGCTCTGGTTGGGTGTTTGTGTTACCATGAATGCACAAATCTGTGGAGATGTGTCTGAACAACTGCGGCTCCACTGAAGCCATACACAACGGAAGACAGGGATGTGAACAAAGCAGCCAGTTGTGCGGTTGTGTGGTTGTGCAGTTGTGTGGTTGTGAAGGTTGTGCGGTTGTGCGCCTCACTTGTGTGCCGGTTAGGCACAAAAGGACTCTTAGTCAGTAGAAAAGCTGCAGCTGAATCAGGTCAACCCAGTTTAATAACTGTTGAGATCTGTTTAGTCTGCATCTCTAAAAACAGATGATGATGAGAAGCATTTCACTCTGCTGTCAGATTAGCTCATCAGCACGGACTCCTCACGTCTCTGGGTGAGCTGGAATCCGGCACAATTTTGTGAAATATAATAAAACGGTTCTGCAGAAAGCTGTCTCTAGGAAAGTTTAGAAAATTGTTGGGTTGATTTTCATTTGGAATACTTTTCTGGTCAGAAAAAATGTAATACCAGTACATTTTCTGCATTTTCTATCCATAAGAACCCAGAGTAACACACGTTTGTTAAAAATGGCCAATGGAACTTCTGGAAATCAAAGATCTTTGACATTTTAGGTTGTACCTGTTTTTTAATGTCATAAATGGGTTCATTTGGTCAGTTTATATTTAGGGAAATAAGTGTCTGGGCTCTTATGGGTTAAAGAAACACCCTTTTATTCAACACAGATACTGAGCAAAAAGGGTAAACCAAAATATCTGATGTCTCCTTCAAAGTGGAGTAGATGACCTACCAGTGTGATGGGTTTAGAGGTGTGTGCAGCCAGGCCGCAGAGTGCTGCCATTTGTATGAGTTTGAATGATGATAAAATGAGTGGACAGCTAGAAGTCATGCACCCTGCTGTTTTCAAATGCCTGAGGATATTTACTGAACTGAAGGTGAATGTGACGCTGGCTCTGTCTTAACTTGTCAGATGATGCCATTTTCATTACAATTAGGAATGTAACAATAAGCCCACACTGCGTAAAAATATCCTGCTGAGTTTAAATTTTACGTTTCGAATCTCAGTCATTCAGATTTGAAAAACTACTAAACAATGGCAGGAAATTTGGAAACCCAAGGAAAGACAACATCTCACATGAGGTTTCAACAGACTTCAGAATAAACCAGGCCTTATGTTTTTTACTTTTCCACTTTTGTTAAAGAGCAGAAGTGCACGTGCTGTCATTCATTTCCAAATCTGTAAAAGACAGAGCATAATTAGCCTTTCTGTGGTGAACAGGCACCTTTTAAAACGCTGGTAGATTTGTCACAGAAATAACTGGATTGCTCAATGTCCTAAAAAGCTCCCTATTGATTCCATTTCACCCAAATCTAATAGGACAGCCAGCTTTCTGAACAAAAAATAGCTGATTGACAGGCGTGACAGCAGGGACAGCTGTGCAACGATGCTTTTGTCAGTTAAACGAATGAAAAATCCATCAGTTTGTCAGTAGATCAATAAAAAACAAAGGCATTGTGGAAAAAATAACTTTAAAAAAAAAATTAGCTGATTAAACTAAGCGCTCATCACACGGGTAAAGCCAGCATCTCACACGTGTGCTCTCTCTCAGGATACTTTGTGCAGGATGCAGGAGACATCATCCTGACGGGACACGCAAGAGGATCTTGGGAATTTTTGCTCCACCATGCACTGGTAAGACAGCACGTTTCCATTTAACTTAATCAACGTATAGACACCAGAACTAAGCCCCAATGTGAGTTTTGGCCAATCAGGTAAAGGAAAGTAACATCGAGTCACTGTATTCCTACAGCTATTTGATTTTTTTATTATCTGTGTCCACAAAAAACAGCAAAAAAGGGGACAATGAAAGCTAAAGTGTTTGTTTGTTAGAGAAAAATTGATTGTTTGTGTTGTTTTTTAACTTTAAGTGAACACCATTAATGTTCTTTTATAGTCCTTCAGGGATTAGTAACTTAGTCAGGGGGAGAAATCTATGAAATACACATGCACAGAGTGTGTCCAGATGACTTGAAGTTAACAAAAAGTAAATAAGTGAGATTAGGACTGGATCGCTAAGGGTTATTTTTGCCTTTCTGTTTTAAAAGAAAAATAGATTCAACCCCATGGAGCTCCATTCACCTCCCTGTGTGTTTGCTCCTCAGGTGATCTGGTGCTTCCTGTACGCCCTGTACACTCAGCTCTACGTGGCCGGTGCTGTGATTGCCCTCTTCGTGGAGGTCAACAGCGTGACTCTGCACCTGAGGCTGATGCTGAAGCTGGCGGGGGCCCAGTCCTCCTCCATGTACCGCGTCAACAAGATGGCCAACCTCCTCACCTACGTCACATTTCGCCTGAGCACCCAGTTCTACCTCACCTGGTACATTATGGACAACTACTCCTGGCTGGACCACGGGGGCTATTTCCTCGTCACCATGATCGTAATGAATATTATGATTCTTATTTATTTTTACCGTTTGCTCCGTGCGGACTTCTTTCCTCGGAGTAAGACCTATGTGGGGCAAAACGGGATGCACAACAACAACTCCAAGAAGTTTCTCAGCGATTGACTGGGGAAGGTTTACAGAACTGTGTCCTGTTTTTATCCCGGTGGGGGGGGGTTTGGGCGGGGGGGTTTGGGCGTTTTGTCTTTTTCAAAGCATAACTGACATCATTCCTAGTGACAACAGATCCCCTCGTTGTGTCTCACTGCCAAAGAACAAACTCCAAAATTGCTAACTGAAACAAGTGAGCAGCCTTTTCTAGTGCCGCTTTTTTACAAATGCAAAGTCTAAAGATTGACTTTTTACTGGGTCAAATGAAATCCAACACTGCTTTAAACAAAACCTTGGACCTTACAAATTTTCCAAAAAAGCCTTTGCAATGTTTTTCACTTCAAGCATATTTGATATTCATACAAAAAGTGCGACAACCTTAAAGGAGTTTGCAGACATATAGGTAATCAGGTTTCTTGCTCATGACATTGACAGCAGTCATGATGTTATAGTTGAAGCTATCGCCCACTTTCAAGTGATAACATAGTAATAGTTTAATTAAATCCTCAAGTTAAAAATTCTCAAATGATTCTTTGATTTTTTAGGAAGCATTGTTTACATCACTTTTCATGTTTCACACGTATTACAACATCAGATGTTTACACATGATTTTTAAAGGGTGAAGTTAGTTGAAAAATAACTCCTGATATTCAAAAGCACAGTTTTCTTTGTTATCTGATGAGTTGACAGTCATCTGTTTCAGGCCTCCACCTCTGTGGGTTTATGGAAGCTTTCCATCTCATCCTAGTTCCCAGTTTAGGCATCAGCACATGCAGAAAAGGTTTTAAATTCAGCTTGCGATTTAAACTAATAAATCCTAATGAGAATTTAAGACCCATGACATTTACCACCAAACACATTTCTAGAAACTTAATTTACAACGCTTGTGCTGTCTGCTCTCTGGGATCTTCGTTCAGATGTGCACTGGTGGATTTAGGTATTTTCCATTCAAAAAGTAATAGATTATCTCACACTGTAGCTTACAACAGATACCCAATCAGAGGAACGTGCACTGTGGTGTAGCACTTAAATCATAGGTTAAATGCATATATCTATGTATGGACGTATGCTATATTTACCACTAAAATATTATTCTCATGCATTTAAACTCAATTTGAGGAGAGAGTAGGTATAAGCTACCTTCCATTAGTTAAAAAAACTGTAAACACAATGAAACAGCGAGCAAAAAGCAACAACACATTAACAAAAACAACAAATTGTAAATAAATTTGGTTTTAATACTTTATCAACCAAAAAAAGGGTCATTTGTGAGTATCTGTGAATGACTTGTTATTTGCCTCTGTGTAGTGCTCTTTCCGGTGTTTTAAGATACACTAAATCTGCAGGCGCAGTCCTTCACTGGCTGACATAAAGGTATATGTTGGCCTATTTCAACCTTTAACAAAAGTTGGCTTTTTTTTTCATACTACAGTTTAGAAACCAGTGAACTGATATTTTACATCCTTGCAGATGTAAAAGGCTTAAATACTCAAATGTCTATTAGCAAAGCCACTACTACCTAGCTGTCCAACCATAAATAAAGAGGTTAATTAGGAAAAAAAAATCCTTTTCCCTTTTTGCTTCTTTTGTTTTGAGTAATTACATGAGAGGGACAGAGATCTTTCAACACTATCAAGGTTTCCTTAGTGTTTATTTTATATTCTTAACTTTACAGTACATCTGAAAGCTATACTGTAAAATATGTAGTCACAGTGTGTGGCAATTGTGATCTTAAATTAACGAAGCAATTGTTTGTTAGCGCAGTGGAATTTTTGTGGAACAGTGTTATTTGCTTTCATTTTGTTGCTTAAAGTGGCTTGTCAGTTTAGTGGCTTGGTGCTGGATGTTGTAAACAGATAGCTTTACGTAGCTTTTGTACATAACATACTTATGTCAAGCATTAAAAAAATGTATGCGTACATTTATTTTTTATCCATCAGGATAAAAAAAAAGTCCTTTTTTATTGTTACTGATGGTAATTCAATTTATATATATATATCTGCATGGGGAAATGTGTTTTTCTATGTTCCATGCTTTTTCCGTGCCTTGTTGGAAATGTAAGACTTTGGACTTTGATATTGTGTGTGTATATAGGCACATCACTGCCGCTGTCTCTATGAAGCGTCTCTAAAAAGGGCTGAAGAGACTGGGGTTTGATAGAATTGGTACATTTAACACAATTTTGTCAAGAAACCTCTAAACTACAATGAGCAGACAGCAACACAATCATTGGTCAGTGAGACACTGTGTATCTGGTTTGCTTGTTCACAAAGATGGACAATTTTTGAATCAGAGACGTTTTTCCTTTTCTTCCTCTCATAAATAATGGTTGTATACACCTTTGTAAATAATGTCCTCAAGTGTGCAGTAATATTTTTAAAATATATTTTGAAGCAAGTACACAAATTGTTGACTATATACTTTTCCTGATGGTTCTGTAAGTCATTCGTTTTGATGATGACATTAAAAAGATCTAATGACAAGTACATTTCATTTTATATTTCACAATGTACAATGCCAAGAAAGTCAGGAAAGGGGACATGTATCTGGAGCAGATGTGCATCTGATCCGGTCTATGGTGCCTTTACCACAGTGCCTTTGGAAGAAAACATCAACAACAATGTGTGAATAAGTAGAGATATACTCAATTATGTTAAGTAGAGGATTGTTTTAGTCTAGTCTTTTGGTCAAGACCCAAACAATATTAAATGTATGCTGTCTGATGTGATTTTTTGGAAACATCTGCGATCATTGAGTGATACCATGAAATAAAAAGTATTTAAATCCCAGGGGTCATGATGTATATTTTTCTTTGTTTTAATAGTCATGCCTTACTGTTATATCTATAGTCAGTTTCAAGTAATAGTGAATTTAGCTAAAGAATTCAACTAACCGGCTTGCCTGAAATGGAGAAAACTCTTTTTTTGTGACTTATATTTCATTTGAAACTATGCTACAGATGACATAAGTCACAATATATCTGTATTCTTCCCTGCTTTTTTAATTTATTAAATTTTTTAAACATAGCCATTCCCCAAAGCTGAACGTTACACAGCTATTTAATGCAGGAAAGTCAGGGGATGTGAATCCAGACAGGCCTGTGGCTCCCCCTTCAGACAAGAAACAAATCAGAGTATTCTGTATGGCCTTTTTTAATGGAGTGAAAACAATGCTTTATTATATTATATTATATTATATTATATTATATTATATTA